GTAACTGGAGGGGTTGAGAGCGGCCATATGGGTGCTGGGCATTGAACCTGAGACCAAGCTAGTGAGTACTCTTAACTGATGAGCCATCCCTCCAGCCCCTTGGTCAGTAATTCATAGTAGAAGGCGGAGTCCGAGGCTAGCTCTCCACAGCTGTTGAATGTTAACTTTTTGGTATTGTCAGTATTCCTTTGCTGTTCTGAGATCCAGTATCACTGCTTTGTGGCCCAATGTGCTTTTTTTAAAATTTTATTTCTGGTTTTTTGAAACAGGGTTTCTCAGTGTAGCCCTGGAACTCGCCCTGTAGACCAGGCTGGCCTCTAGATATGCCTGCCTCTGCCTCCCAAACTGGGATTAAAGGTATGTGCCATGGCCGCTCAGCAGGGCTTATGAAGTTTTACTGTTTTGGCCTTCCGTGTTCACCATTGCGGCCAGCTTGGTATTGTCAGTCGTCTTCTTCTTTGCCAGGAATACAGTGAAAAACCGAGCACGGCGGCTCACACCTGTAATCCCAGTACTCAGGAGACCAGAGGCAGAAGAAATGTTGCAAATTTGAGGTCATCCTGGTCTTCATAGGGAATTCTAGGTCAGCTAGGGAGGGCTTCACAGCAAGATTCTGTCTCAAACAGCCATAAAAATGACATAATGAAAATGGAAATTAGTTATTTAATTTGCATTTTCACATGTCATCTTTACTTAGTACCTGTGTTTGGGTAACTGAAGAGGCCTAACTTAACATTAGTGCAGCCATGGCAGGCTGCAGACTAACTGCAGCTAGGCATGCATATACTGGCACTAGGCCTCACCATTACTATAACCAGGAAAAGCCACAAACTGTACCCTGCAAGGGACCAATTAGAATTGAGACAAACCAGTACTAGATGCTCCAAGACATAGAGGATAGCTTACATCACTTGTATATAGGTTGCCAGTTTCCTTGCGGCAACACCAGTACCAAACCCTGTTTGACAAGGCTTCTGTTACCCAACTCCTGCCCAATCAGGAGTTCAACCCCCATCTGAATCCAGAATTCCCCTACCCCTGCATCCTTTACTCCTTAAAAACCCTGCCTCAGCTGAGCTCAAGGTTCTCCCTGATCCAACTGCTGTGTTGGAATGGACAGGAAGCCCAAGCTTGGGATTGCAATAAAGGTGTTTTGCTTTTACAAACAAACTCGGACTCCTGGTGATCTCTGAGGGGCTCATGACACGGGCATAACAAAAAATATCACAAAATACTATCTGCCATGTGAGAACAAGTTCCCAGTCTACACCATGGTAAATTTTTGTCATCTATTTGTATTTTGTTTGTTTGTGAGATAAGGTCTAATCTGTATCCTAGGCTGGCTTGGAACTCTCTCTGTAGCTTAGGCTGACCTTGAACTTCTGGGAATCCCCCTACTCCAGCCTCCCAAATGCTGGGATTACAGACATGAGCCACCACATGCAGCTGTTTTATTTAAATAAAAACACAAGTGCAGTGATTTCAGGAGCTGTTTCAGTGGTCTCAGACCGGCCTTGATGGGAGGGGGCAGATATGCAATTATTCATCCTGGCTCTTTGCCTTCAGTGTGCATTTTTAAAAATATTCATTTTTATTTTATTTGCATTGGTGTTTTGCCTGCATGTATGTCTGTATGAGAGCATTGGATCCCCTGGAACTAGAGTTACAGACAGTTGTGTGGTGCTGTGTGGGTGCTGGGAATTGAACCTGGGTCCTCTGGCAGAACAGTCAGTGCTCTTAACCACTGAGCCATCTCTCCAGCCCCGGCGCTTCCCCCATCCCTCCCCTGTACCCCCCCCCCCCCCCCCCCCCGAAAGGGAACTTTTTCTGCTCCATTCTCAGCACAAGGAAGCACAAGGCATAAGGATTCTCAAGTGGGTGAAAATGCAGATGATTGTATTCTAAAGCTGTTGTTTTTTAATCTAATGTTTTATTGACAAGTGCTGCATCTACAGCATTTAACGTTAAATTTTGATCAAAGACATCTATTTCACCAGCCAGAATTGTAATAAAAAGTGGAATGTCTGTCATGGTATTCACTACCTGATGCCTCTTGGATACTTGAAAAGTATTTGTTAAGTAAATGAAAATTCAAGTAAAGGAACAGGACTTTGATTTCTTCTCACTGCGGTGTAAAACATTATTCTGACTGTTCTGGTTGTTATGAGGAGGAGGAGTCTAAGAGCTGGAAGGATCGATCATTCAGTAAGGGGCTCACCTTGCAAGCATGAGAACCCACATAAACATCTGGGTGTGAGGGTATAGATTTGTAATTTTAGCACTGAGGAGATGACAGGCAACTCAGGCCAGCCAGCATAGTTTACTCGAGAGTGTCAAACCGGTGACCAGTGAGAGGCCCTGTCTCAAAACAAGCAAACAACCCAAATCTGTGAATAGCATCTGAGGAGCAACATGTGAGGTTGTACTCTGACTTTCACAGGCACACACCTATACCCTGATCTGCACCCACAGGAACCAACACATGAACACACACAAAACAAGAGGCCAGAATTGTCACTGCCTGCTTGAAGATGATTTCTTACCTGGAAAACCCTAACAACAGTGAAAAATAAATGTATGCCAATGGAATGTTCTTACATACCAGTAATTGACAGCTAGAAAGAGTAGTGGTATAAGCTATATTTCATAGTAGTAGCACAGAAATACATAATATGAAGAATAGACATTACTACTGGGTGGTGGTGGCACATGCCTTTAATCCCAGCACTCAGGAGGCAGAGGCAGGCCGATCTCTGTGAGTTCGAGGCCAGCCTGGTCTACAGAGCTAGTTCCAGGACAGCTAAGGCTACACAGAGAAACCCTGTTTAGAACCCCACCCTCAATAGACATTAAATGATATTTTGTCAAGAAAATCGTTAACCTTGACTAAGAAACAATAATATGTATGTAAAGAAATATATTCTTATATTTAACATTTTTTTTCTTTATTTTGTGGTTTGTTTTTTTTTTTTTTTCAAGACAGGGTTTCTCTTTGTAGCTCTAGGTGTCCTGGAACTCCCTCTATAGACCAGGCTGGCCTCAAACTCATAGAGATCAGCAGCCTGCCTCTGCCTCCCAAGTGCTGGGATTAGAGGCATGCAACACCACTGCCTGGCATAACATTATTTTTATACTTTTTCCCCCCTGTTTTTTTGAGACAGGGTTTCTCTGTGTAGCTATGGCTGTCCTGGAACTTGCTCTTTAGATCAGACTGGCCTTAGGACTCCTCCTGCCGCTGCCTTCCAAGTGTTAGGATTACAGGTGTGCACCACTACCACCCAGCTTTCATAGTGTATCTTTCATATGTACCTTCCAATTCCCCCTCCTGCTACCTTAACACCCCCATATCCCCCCATTGTCATGTAACACCCCCCCCCCTTGTAACCTATTGAGTCTAGTTAGTGCTGGACGATGGATTGCTAACTGAACTTGTTGGCTTGTGTGCAGGTAAGCATAGTTACAGTGAGTTCAGGAGTACAATGGCTGTGGAAAGCAGGGCTCTTGAGCCACACGTGACAAGCCACAGTGTAGATCAAGGCCTGGACTTTCAGAAGGTTGTCAGAACCTGCTTGTAGCTTTTGTTGCTTAGCTTACCAGCTTCAGCTCTCTGGCAGCCGAGGCAAGTGTGGGGTTCCCAGCACTTTTCTTTAACTTTCCTGTGTTTCCTGTTTTTAGTACTTAGAACTGTGATTCAAACCTTTTCTTTTACCCTCTTGAATAAATAAACTCAGTATTCTGGTAGATCAGGACAGTAGCTCCATTCTGTTCTATGAAATAGGAGTGAGGGTCGGTCAGTCTGTCTGTCTGTGTAAAATTGTCCTGATTCCTGTCCCAACCTGAGCGACTTCTAACCTGATGCTGCCAGCTCCTGTGCCTCCTTTGCTCACATGCTGATTCAGGTCCCTCTTAGGCATGTTGGCTTAATTCCCTGGATTCCTATTCACACCAGCACAATTTTCATTTCTATCTAAGATTTAATTTTGTTTGTTTGGGGGAAGGGTCTTACAATGTAGCCCAGAATGGCCTTGAACTCAAACTTCCTGCCTCAGTTTCCCCAGTGCTGGGATTATAGGTGGTGTACCACTGTACCTAGCTCTGCACATGATTTTATGAATTGTAACTTAACTACTGTATGCTAGATTTGGGTCCGGGTCCTCACATAGAGATGGCATTGTTTTTTACATTTGTATAGCAAGTGCATTCCTTGTTTGACCCCGGGGCCTCCCTATGTACAGAGTTGCCATAATGCTGTTTGACTGAAAGATACAAAGGAGTAGGAGTGATCTGATGTGGATAAGGGGACTACATGTAGCCTGAATGCCACCCTGTTGTTTTATCTTCATCACAGTGGCTGTACTTTAAACTACTAGTGGCTCAGCTAGCTCAGTTGGTAGAGCACAGGACTCTTAATCTCAGGGTCGTGGGTTTGAGTCCCATATTGGGTGCCAAATATAACGGGTTTTCTCAGACCACCAACCCCCAAATCATGACACAGAGACTTATTATTAATTACGAACGCTCAGCCTTATCTTATGCTTGTCCCACTAGCTCTTATAACTTATTTTAACCTGTTTATCTTCATCTGTATTTTGCCTTGGGACTTTTTAACTTTTCTTTCATTCTATATGTCATACTTCCCTGATTCTTCCGTGTCTGGCTGGCTGGTGGCTACCTGGCTGGCTGGCCCCAAGTGTCTCCTTCTTTTTCTCTCTCATTCTCCTCTCTTGAACCTAAATTTCTCCTCCTACTTATTCTCTCTGCCCACCAACCCTGCCTGTTACTCTACTGCCTAGCTATTGGCCATTCAGCTTTTTATTAGGCAGGCAAGGTGAAACAAATGCAACACATCTTTACATAGTTAAACAAATGCAGCATAAACAAATGTAATACATTTTTATATAGTTAAACAAATGCAGCATAAATAAATGCAACACACCTTTCATAGTTAATATTCTGCAACATAAACAAATGTAACACATCTTTACATAGTTAAAGTAATATTCCACAACACCATGCTGTGTGCTTTGCACAAGTACTCCTGATAATGCTCTGTGTGGGATTTTCTCCTGTGTGGCTTTGTCCTGCCCCTTACTGTGTTTTGACACATATGGAGAATGGTGTACAGGTCCTAGTCCAGGTGGCTTTTGCAGAAGCAAAAAAGGGAATTAATGCAGACTGGAGATGACACAGGAGCATTAGCATGCATTCACAAACCACTGTTGCCCACAGGGACGGAATGACCATTGAAAGGGCAAGAGGAACCTGTAGCCACCCATTATGATGTCAGGGAAGTTCTAAAAGAATAGTTACTGCTTTTCTCAGTCAAGACCGGGTATGATATATACCCAACATCTTTATAATACATGAGTTCATCATTTATTTAATCGACTTCCTACAGATCTGGCTTTTCTCAGTGCTTCTTGCTATTATTAGTAGTTTTCTAGTGTTCAATCTGTTCCTTTTTCAAAGAGTGCCTTGGTACTTTGGGTAATTTGAGATGTGGTGAGTCAGAGTATGAATATTTACAGTTTTGATACTGTTGCCAAGGTGACCTGTGACAAGGTTATAATGTTTTACTCTTTTGCCTGGAATGTTTAAGTGGACCATTCTTCACTCACCTTCATTAGCCATTATTAAGATTAAATGACTGTTTATGGATGAAAATGAAGTTTTATGAGACACTTTCCTTTGATATATGTACTGCATAATATTTATTTCACTTGAATCTCGCAACATTTTATAGATTATTTCCTTAAATATTTTGCTAGTGGAAGTTGTTATAAGAACTTGACTTCTAGCTGGGCAGTGGTGGTGTCGTGGTGCACGCTTTTAATCCCAGCACTCTGGAGGCAGAGGCAAGTGGATCTCTGTGAGTTTGAGGCCAGCTTGGTCTACATAATGGGTTCCAGGACAGCCAGAACTGTTACACAGAGAAAAGATTTGAAAAAAATCTTAAAAAAAAATAAAAATAAAAGAACTTGACTTCTAGGGATGGAGGTATATATAGCTCAATGGCCTAGCAAGCTCTAGGTCTTGGGTTTGATGCCCAGCAATTGTCCTGCTGAATTCGTTTTTTTCATCTAATCAGAAGATTCTTGATAGAAACTGTAGACTTCTGCCTTTGTTAATTTATTAACTTTGTAAGCAATATTTCACGAGCACCCATGTGCTGGGTACTAGTGACAGTGTCAACTCTAACATATATCATGGAAAAGACATATAGAAATTATATACTTCACTATTCCCTTACAGACTGGAAGGGAAAGAGATCAGATTAGATTGGAGTCACAGGAAGACTGCAGAAGGGCCAGTGAGACGCACCTGGCTGAGGACAGGCCTGGAGGCTCCAGGTTGGGAAGTGCATTGTGTGTGTGAGGAACTGAAGGATTCCAGTGAGTGAGTGCTGAGGTGTGAGCATCAGCAGGGATCTCATGAGATGCTCAGTGGGGCACCAACATGACCAGATTCCATGTTAAAAAGGTTTCTCTAGCTGAACAGTAGAGAATGCCACAGAGCAAATCAGGTGTGAGGCAGAGGCTTGCAAAGTCTCCAAAGTGCGTCATCTGACACATAGTCACTGTGGCCTGGGAAGGAACTGTAAGGCCTTCTGATTACTTTCATATTTAGAAATTAACCTGCATAAACATGCAGAGAGGTCATACTTTTATATCATTTAGTGAGCATGTATATAATGAGGCCCTGTGATTTTTAATAAGTTATTAATACAGTGAATAATAAAGAGTGATTGCCAAGCATGGTAGTTAGTTACTTTTCCTGTTACTGTAATAAAATACTCTGACTACAGCAACTTAGGTGACAAAGGGTTTATTCTGATTCACTGCTGCAAGCCGCAGGAAAACATAATGGATCAGCTACTATCACAAAAGCTGTTACTTGGGAAGGTTAAGGACTTTTCTGAAGGTCAAGCCATGGCTTAAGAAGTCTTGGTGAACGTCTGTCTGCACGTCACCATGCTCCCCATCATGATGATGATGCACTGAACCTCTTAAACTGTAAGTGAGCCCCTCAATTAAATGTTTTCCTTATAAGAAAAAAAAAAAGAAGTCTTGGTGATATTTTAGCTTTTGTACATATATTAGCCCATTTCTGCAAATGATTTCCTTGTATGCTATGCATGCTTCCAAGAACTCCTAACAGTGTATTTGATCTGAAATACCTATCAAGCATCCAAGGCTAAACGATCACCTGAATTAAGGTATATTAAGCTCAGACCCTCCTTTCTTATACAGCCTTAGTGGTATTTATACTAACATTATAGACTCCTAACATTCCTAACCACTGTTAGGAATGTAGTTTGAGCACATAAATTCCCCTTTTCTGATATAATTGACCTCCTCCTTTTCTACTCCCCTTTTAGGTTGTAAAAGAAAGCCTGGTGGTCACTGCCTGAGGAAAACTCTTGTCTGTCTTTATGAACCTGTAAGAATTCAAGTCTGGTGACCTTATTTTAGCTAGAGCACTGCTATTGCATGGGTATATAACTGTAAACCTCAGAGACTGAGGAGGATTTTGACGGGAGAACTAGAAGAATGAGATGGAGGATGAGGAAGAGCCAGATGGGGAAGAACGAGATGAGAAAGACCAAGATGGGGCAGAACTGAGATGAGAGAATTAAGATAGAACTTAGAGGGGACAGCAGATAAATGTAGAGAGAAATCAGGCAAGAAAGGAGCTAGGCACGAGAACAGAACTGAAGCTGTGTAGATAGGATTTTATCCCAGAGGAATAAAGTAGACGGACTAAAGAGCTTGGTGTACTTAGATTATTTTCCTGAAAGTTATTTGTGCCATTCATAGCTTCTCTTCTGGGCCCCTGGGAAGAAGATTATTAATATTAAGGCTGGACCATAATAATATTTGAGAATTCACAGTTCAAGGGTACACTCCATCATGTTGGGGAAGTCAAGGCAGCAGACACCTGAAGCAGCTGGTCACATTGCATCCACAGTCCAGAGGAAGCAGAGAGGAAGGAATACATGCTGCTGCTCAGTTCCCTTTCTCCATTCATACATCCCAGGTTCCCATCGAGGGAATGGTGCCATCTGCAGTGGGCTGGTGTATTAGTTTGCTCTCGGTTGCTGTGTTAAACACCATGAGCAGCTTGCAGAGGAAAGTGGGGTTTTGGGCTTACATTTCCCCCATTATAGTCCATCATTGATGGAAGTCAGGGAAGGAACCTGGAGACAGGAACTGAAGTAGAGACCATGGAGGAGTGCTGCTTACTGGCTTACTCCTCATGGCTTCCTTTTCTTTTTCTTCCTTCCTTCCTTCCTTCCTTCCTTCCTTCCTTCCTTCCTCCCTCCCTCCCTCCCTCCCTCCCTCCCTCTTTCTCTCTTTCTCTCTTTCTCTCTTTCTTCCTTTCTTTCTTCCTTTCTTCCTTTCTCTTCGTCTCTGCCTCCCTCCCTCCCTTCCTATTTATGTGTGTTGGTGTTTGGCCTGCATGCATGTCTGTGAGAGAGAGTCAGGTCCACTGGAACTTGAGTTACAGACAGTTGTGACCTGCAATGTGAGTGCTGGGAATTGAACTTGGGTCTTCTGGAAGAACAGCCAATGCTTTTTTTTTTTTTTTTTTTTTTTAAGACTGCAACGCTGAATCTAAATTTCCTTTGTTCAGCTTATTTTTCTTTTCTTTTTTATTTTTAAGGTTTATGTATTTATTATGTATACAGTATTCTGTCTGCATGTGTCCTTACAGGCCAGAAGATGGCACCAGATCTCATTACAGGTGGTTGTGAGCCACCATGTGGTTGCTGGGAATTGGACTCAGGACCTCTGGAAGAGTAATCAGTGCTCTTAACTGCTGAGCCATCTCTGTAGCTCCAGAGGGACTCTTTTTTGTTTGCTTGCTTGATTTTTGAGGCAGCAAGTATGTAGTCGTGACTGTCCTGGAACTGGATATGTAGACCAAGCTAGCCCTGAACTCAGAGATAGCCTGCCTCTGCCTTCCCAGTGCTGGGACTAAAGAAAGGTATGTGCTACCACAAAGATTTCTTTTGTTTTTGTTTTTTTCAAGACAGGGTTTCTCTGTGTAGCCCTGGCTGTTTTAGAACTTGTTCTGTAGACCAGGCTGGTCTTGAACTCAGAGATCTGCCTGCCTCTGCTTTACTTACTTTCTTTAACAACCCAGGACCACCTGCTCAGGAGTGGTACCACCCACTTTGGACTGGACCTTCTCACATCAATCATTAATCAAGAAAATGCCCCACAGGCAATCTGATAGAGACATCTTCTAAATTAATGTTCCCTCTTCCAAAGTGACTCAAGTTTGTGACAAAAACTAACCAGCACAGTTGGTCTTCCAGCCTCAGTCAAGGTCATCTCCCACTGGCATACCAAAAGCATGATTCTGCATTCTATCAAATTGACAATTGACACTCTCAGCATAGCACAAGCCTATAATCCCAGCGCTTTGGAGGTGGAGCTAGGGGTATCACACATTCAAGGCTGGCCTGGGGGTACAGAGCAAAACAAAAAGGAGAAAAGGTGTGTGGCTCATGGTAAAATAGTTTCCTAGTATGTGTGAGGCCTTAGATTCCATCCCTAGCAATATAATTAGTTGATTAATTTTGTGTAATGTGCGGGAGATGGCTAGTCTGGGCAAGCAATGTTGCTAGTCTGACTTGAGAGGTAGTAGTTGACTAAAGTAAAAGGTGGAAGCAGGTGTCCGAAGACTTGGCGCGGCTTGCAAATGAAGAAGAGCAAGGAGGCAGATACCGAAATGCTGTCAGGCACTTGGGCAAGTGGTGTTTGCAAGATGGAAAATGTGGGGTAGAACCGGTGTTGGGAAGGAGAAACGGGCAAGAATGTTGGCTTTGAGTAGCCACTAAAACTCCAGATGGAGACCTAAGGAGAAGTCAGGCAAGATAACTCAAATAGTACAGGTGTAGATTTTGTTGAGGATTCAAGTCCACTGCAGCATGTTGCTTACTCCTGCTGTGTGCCAGCTGTTTTTGTGGTGGTCACTCAGGGTCCAGGCCATTGCCCACCACAGCTCTACACATACTTTCTTTACCTCTCAGGATAGACCCTTCTGCTCATGTTCCCCTTAGTCTAAGCAACTGAGTTGGCCACTCCAACCTTAAAAGTGGAAGAGTACAGTATGCCTTCCTTCCATGATCTCAGACAGGGAACAACTCTAGCCATGGCCCAGCAGTTTTCCAGGCGATCCACTGGTGCACAAGACATTAGGTATAGTGGGAACAGCCTTGAACTTACCCCACACCACTTGGCTCTGGGCACGCCCTGGGGGAGTCTTAGCTAGAAAGCACTGTAGCCGAATTCCTGATGGATAGGCAGGCACGGGTGTCCTCAGAATGAAGCTGCCGCTGCCTACACCTGACTGGGGAGTTAGCCTCCCTTCCCCACTGCACTATTGGGGTGACCTCTGCAGTAGTGCTGCTGAAGAGCAGTAGTTATAGACAGTACCAGAACAGGAAGTGTAAGCTCATCATGATGGGTTTTTCCAAAGGGGCCTTGTAGGGTGTGTCTGCCCCTCCCTAGCCTCTGGTTAGGCTCTGAGACATTTCATTCCCTGCCTTCTTCAGGGAGCACACTAGTGGTCCGGGTCTCTTAGGGTCTGTTGCCTTGCAGTCTCTCTGAGGTCAGGCAGCTGACAGGCAGAACCAGTGGAGCTGCAGTGACTGAGATAATGCATCTAGGAAAGAGAGGGCCTGGGAAAGTTGTGTACTGTCCTCTAGAAGGTGACCAGAGAGTGACCACTCCCTGGTTTGGTTGATGGATGATTTGAAAGCACTGGTATTTATTGATATATGGCCACTTAAAGGGAATTTGAGGGGCCCAAGGGAGCGAAATCTGAAGCCTCTGGTGCAGGAGCAGAGATCAATAGGAGTCACCAGGAGGCCTGACCCTGGGTGTACTCACTGAAGATTTCATCATATAGATGACCCTGTGGCCACTTGGCTCCCATGGTGGCTGGACTAGCTGTTTTTCTCCCAGGAAAAAAAAACCAGACTCAGCATTGTTTTGTAGTATTGTCTCCATGTCACAGCTTAAAGTGGTGAAAGGTCAGCATTCTGAAACTTCAATGACATATTTGGTGGCATTTGTGTTTCTATATATGCCTTTCTCTATATGTCTCCTTGGGATTTTCTGAAAGGGGATGTATTTTACCCCAACAGGAAATGGTTTAAACAAACAAACAAAAGACAAGAGTAGTGGAACACAGCTGTAATCTCTTCATTTGGGAGGCTGAGGCAGAAGATCACAAGGCCAATCTGGCTACACAGTGAGAAGGTGTTTCCAGAAAAAGGGAGGACATGGGGAAAGGAGACTGATGGGACAGTCCATTCCCCGCTGTGTTGGAGATCAAGTTCCTCACTGACCATGATGAGCTCAACCTCATCCTTGTTTTTTGTATGAGTCTAGATGTTGAGGACAGAGATGTGTTCCTAAAATTTCTTGGCATTTTTGCCCCACCACTTGTGATGCTGGAGATAGAACCCAAGGCCTCACACATGCTAGGGTAGTGATCTGTTGCTGAGGCACACTCCAGCTCCTTCTGTTTCCTCTAACTGGCAACAGCAGGGAATCACAGAACCTCTCTTTTGGTCTGAGCAAGGAGGTTCAGTGACTGAGATCGTGTACCCAGGAAAGAGAGGGTCTGAGAAAGTTATGTGCTGTCCTCTAGAAGTTGATCAGAAAGTGAGCTCCCTAGTCGGATTGATGGACCATTTGGAAGCACTGGTCTTTATGACCACCTAAAGGGCATTGAGGGTACCATGGGAAATGAAAGGGAAGCCTCAGGTGCAGGAGCAGAGATCCAGGGACGCTGGAGATGGAGATGGAGAGGGGTGTGTACCTCACAGAATCAGCAAATTCTTGGAGTGCCAGGACTTGAGCAGGCTTAGCAGAGACTGTGCCAACTTTGACCTGAGGGTGGTGTGTGTGTGTGTGTAAGCATCTTTTTCAGAGATGGGACTTGGGGGAGGGGGCTTACCATTACTTTACCTGTCTTTTGTTCCAGTTACAAACCTCATCAAACAAAGATGCTATCTTCATTGTTGAAAGCAGTTTAGTTAAGTTTGAGAGGTTTGAGTATCTGTTTAGAAGGCACGGAAGAAGCCAGTGTTGTGGTCCATGCCTGTAATCCTAGCACTCAGAAAGTAGAGGCAGTAGAGCATCACAAATTTGAGGCCATCTTGGGCTACAGAGTGAGAATGAGAATGCTTACATACATACACACACACACACACACACACACACACACACACACACACACACCCCTATACCCCTACATGTAGGGCAGGGCGAGGCAAGATAAGAGGATGGAGAAGGATGGAGATAACAGAGCAAGTTTCTACACACAGATGCACGCACGCACGCATGCACGCACGCACGCACGCACACACACACACGTGGCAGGGCAAAGCAACGCAAAGCAAGGCAAGATAAAAGAATAGAGAGCAGCTTTCTAATTTTCAGCTGTGTAGGGAAGGCCAAACATGGTCATTCCAAGAGAATAGGATGTGCCAAAGAGGCTCAGGAGGACAGACAGTGAACTTTTCATTCCTCCTAAAATAATGTTTATCACTTACTATTTACAGTTACAACAATCCTATTTTACCTAAGACTTGGTGTGCTACTGGTTGGTTTTCCAGATTTCTGTTGCTGTCACCATGTTCCCTGGTTCATTAGGGATCCTGTGTGTGTCTGTATAATGCTCTGAGCCCAGAATGCCTTTGTCCTGGACACCAGGAAAGGTGGACGGTTTTAGCTCCAGTGTTTTTGTCTGATATGTGGCTTCTATAGAACATTTTAGGCCAGAAGATATAAGGCCTGGAAGTTAATGATGAAAATCTAGGTGCTTATGAACTGGAGTACACAGGAGAAACACATATTCTGGCTCTGTAGATGAGGCTGGCTGGGGGCCTCTCTGCATAGACTCTCTCAGGCCTTCCTGCCTGTCTCCTGCTTCTGCAGGTACCCCTCCCCCAAAGTTGTTTCTTTCAGGTATGGAGAAAAGTGACTAATATGTGAATATGGTTTAGATATTGTTTAGGGCTTCCCAATCTTTAAGAATTCAAGAGTTTGTTTGGCCACTGTAGGGTAGTTTCATTTGCCCCCAAATTCCTGTCCTCAGGTTTATACAGAGACCGTTGAGAAGGAAACCCCAGCATCTTCAGTACCATTACTGTCCCGAACTCTGGGTAAAGGCCACCATGTGACTCTAAAATACAGGCAGGAGAGGTATTAGTGATTGCAGGTAGGCACTCTTAGATGATGTGTTGACTGAGAACCAACTATGTAAGACATTGAGTTAGCTCTGTGAAGTCAGATGGGAAGGTCCAAAGAGCTAATGGCCCAGGCAGGCTGTGTTCTCTAGATCCAAGACAGATGTGAATCACTCATCTCTAATTCTGAGGTAATTACTTATTTCTCAACTTTGACAAGAGCACAGTTAATTCTCTGTCCAAGGCTCTGGGCTGATTACCAGGGGTAGAAGTTGACCTTGCCAGCTCTGCTCCCAGTTGGACCCAGCAACACAACAAGAAGTTGCAATGACCTCGAAACACATTTAGAGAGAGTATATTGTGAAATGACTGCGTAGTTAAGTTTCATGTTTTGCATAGAGACTTGGTTAGTCTATATTCTCACCTCCATGTTCATACTTTGGGAGTTAGCTTTAAAGAGACATGAAAATTAATGTCTGTTTGCCAAAGTGAAATGACACCCTCAGCTCTTACCACTTTATTTCTAGAGGTGTGTGTGTGTGTGTGTGTGTGTGTGTGTGTGTGTGTGTGTGTGTGTGTTTTACTGAGGTTGGAACGCTGGTTCACACTCCACTATTGAGCCCCAGCCCTATGACAGAATATATGTTAAGGGTATAAATAATGAGCAAAATGAAGAAATACATGGGACAAGGCCTGGAAGGGTTTTGAGTGCAGGAGATTCCATCTCTATGGAATTTTGCTTCTCCATGCAGAAGATGAATTCTTGTTCACCTTCCCACAAGTCCATGTGATCAGCTGTCCAGCTTTCCAGTAGGTTCCTGTTTTCTTCTCCCCATAGGCATGACTGAAGCATGTACAACCACATAGAACAGAACTAGACAGAAAGGAGAACCCCAGAAGGCCTGTCTGTCAGCTTCTTGGCCTGTTGATTCGGCAGGACGCCATCTGAAATAAAAATTGTATGAAAGGTTGGGGAGACAATAGTTTACATTATCTGCCTTGAGGAAGAGAAACTGTGACTGTATCTTCCTCGTGATGGAAAAGAAACAGGTGAAAGGGCAGGGTGACAGGTCAGAGGGAGATTTCGTTCCTGGAGACCTAGAGCACCTTCTATCTCACCTCTGTGAAGCTATTTCAGGCGGCTTTGTGACCCGAGGACAAAGCTCAAGTGAACAAGATAAGCAGTCTAGCTATTTAGGAATCCTGTGCCATCTCACTGAAGTCAACTCAGGGAGTGTCTATCAGTGAGGGCCTTTGATACGTTTCTCAAAGTCTGTGATAGCAACCAGCATTGTATATAGTCAAATGACATTCCTTATAATAAAGATCATTAATAATTTCACGAGCCAGGTATGGTGGCATAGGCCTTTAATTCCAGGACTTGGGAGGCAGAGGCAGGCAGATCTCTGTGAGTTCCATGCCAGCCTGGTCTACAAAGTGAGTTCCAGGACAGCTAGGGCTGTTACACAGAAAAACCTTGTCTTGAAGGCAAAAAAAAAAAAAAAAAAAGAAAGAAAGAAAGAAAAGAAAAGAAAATTTCCCATGAGAACAGACCACTTAAAAACAGTGTTTCAAAGAGGAAGTCACAGGGGAAATTACAGAACACTTAGGAGAATGAAAATGAAGGGGCAACAAACCAGAGTGTATGGGCAGAGCTAAAGCAGTGTGTGCTGACCATCTTACAGTGGAAAATAGCCTATCTTTCTAAAAGGGACTTCAAACAAAGTAACCTCCAACATGAAGACCCTAGGAAAAGACTAGAAATAAAGTAACCAAAATGAAGAATAGTACAGAAATGAATGAAATAGAGAATAGAAGAGAAAAAACAATAGTAATGGAAATTGGTTCTTTGAAAAGATAAAATTGAGAAATCTTTAGCTAGATTTACGGAGGGAGGGAGGGAGGGAGGGTGGGAGAGAGAGCGCTCTGTAAATAGCTAAAATCAGAAATGAAGGTGAGGAAGTGACTGCTAGCTTTACAGAAGTTGTATAAAAGCCAGGGGCGATCACGAAGGAACACCATGAGCAGTTATGTGCCTCAAATAGACAATGGGAGAGGAGAAATGGCACCTTCCTGGGACCGCACAGGCTCTCTTACTGACTGATGAGAGACAGACACACTGAGCAGACCTGTGGCCGGCAAGGAGATGGGTTAATAATTGAAAATTTACAAAGAACGGGGAAGGACCAGGTAGCCTCACAGGAAAGTGTTGCCAAACCTCTGGAGACAAACTAAGGACTTGTCTTCACAAACTGTTACATGAAGTAAACACGGAGGAGACGTGTTCCACCTGTAGGACTTTTATAAATGTTGTCTCAATAACGATACTGGACAGAATTTCATAATACAACTACAGGTGATATCTCTCATGATTGCAGATATAGAATCCTTAACAAAATGCTAGCAAACCAAATCCAGCAGCACATAAAAAGTATCTGTACATAAACAAGTGATATTTCATCCTGAAGATAAGTGAGTTTGACATCTAAAAATCAACTAATGGACTGTACCATATTAATAGAATAAAAGACAAAAATCATACAATCATCTCAATAGATACAGAAAAAGCTTTTTGAAAAATTCCAACATTCCTCATGATAAAAACACTCAAACTAACTCAAAATAAAAAGCTCTCCTTTAAAACCCATGTGGGGCTGGGAAGCTCAGTCAATACAGTATGTGCTTTGCAAGTGTGAGGACCTGAGCCTGATGCTCAGAACCCATAGGAAAAATAGACCTGGGGCTGGAGTGATATCTCCGTGGTTAAGGGCACTTACTGCTCTTGGTGAGGACCGGGGTTCAGGTCCTAGTACCCACACCAGACAACTGTTTGTAACTCCAGCTCCAGGGGATTCTGCACCCTCTGCTGGCCTCCATGGCACCTGCATGCAAGTGATATACACAAACTCATACACACATAAATGAACCAATAAAAAAGTCTTAAAGAAATAGCAGACATGGTGGTGTGAGCTTGTAATCACTAGGAAGGCAAAGACAGGAGGATCTCTAGGGCTTGCCAGCCAACCAGCCCCACCTGCTTGCCAAACTCCAGGTGAGTGAGAGACTGTCTCAAAAGAGATAGATGGCACCTGAGGAGCATGACTGACATTTTCCTCTGGCCTCCATATGCACCTTCACACACACACACACACACACACACACACACACACACACACACACACACGTACACACACAAGTAGTATAAATAAAACCCACATCTGATTTGAGACTCAAATAGTAAAAAATGGCACACTTTTCTCCTAAGGTCAGAATCAAAAATGTTTAGCATCTCTTCTACTAGTCAGCATTGAACTAAGGGTCTAGTCAGGGTAGTTAAGGCAGAAATAAATAATATCCAGGCTAAATAGGGAGAAGGAAAACTTAACTGTTTTCAGATGACATAATCCTTTGGTTTCTTACATTTTTTTTATAAAATTTATACAAAATTTTTATAAATTTATTTATTTTATGTGCTCTGGTATGAAGGTGTCAGATCCCCTGGAACTAGAGTTACAGACAGTTATGAGCTGCCATGTGGGTGCTGGAAATTGAACCCAGGTCCTCTGGAAAAGCAGTCAGTGCTCTTAACCACTGAGCCATCTTTCCAGCCCCACATTTATTTTTTTAAGGCAAGGTTTCTCTGTATAACCCTGGCTGTCCTGGAACTTACTCTGTTGACCGGACTGGCCTCCAACTCAGAGATCCACCTGTCTCTGCCTCCCGAGTGCTGGGATTAAAGGTGTATGCCACTATGCCATATATATATATATATATTGAGGTAGGGTCTCATTCTGTAACCCAGGCTGTTTTAGAACTCATCTTGTAGCCCGGGTTGGCCTCTAGCCCTTGGTGATCTTCTGCCTCATCCTCCCTAATGCTGAGTTGTGAGCCACCATACCCAGCCAAGATAATCTTATATACAGAAATTCCTGATGAATTGACAACAAACAACTCTCCTACACACACCACAAAACTATCAGAAATAATAAACAAGACCAGCAATGATGCAGAATATGAATAGTATATCAAAATTTAATACTATAGTATTATAGTAATGAACAACCCTAAAATGAAGATAAATAATTCCATTTATCATTGTATCAAAAAAGAGAAAAGGCACCTTGAAATATTCGATCTTTTCTTTTTGAGACAGAATTTCACTGAGTTGTTCAAGGTGGCCTCAGATTTATTCTGTAGCTTAAGCAGACACTGAACTCGGGATTCTCTTACCTTAAACTCCCAAGTAGCTGAGGTTACACTTCTACAGAAGATGTATATAAGGCCAGCTTGCTTCATTTCTTGTTAAGATGATTCTTGGAGAATTTTTCTGTTAGGATTCCATTCTTTTCTTATTGTTATTTTGCAGTGTTGGGGATTGAGCCCTGGGTCTTGCATGTGCTAGCCAAGTCTCTACCTTTGAGCTATAGCTTTAGCGTCCAGGATATAATTTAATTTGTAAATCCTGGTATGTGAGGAAGCTGTTGGAATTTCTCATTGACTTTTGAATTTTTTTAATGATTTTTCAGTTGATTTTTTTGGGTAGTACTAGGGATTAAACTCAGCGCCTCACACATGAGCAAGTACTCTGATCTACATCTATAACTTGAATATTTTGTTTAGAAACTATCAACCACTTTTTTTCTTTTTTTTTCAAGGGTCATAATTTGTGTTTCCCCTTGCTTAGCTGTTTTAACATACACGTGCATGATAGTGGTAAGTTCTGGTGATGGCAATGGCTATCCTGCTGTAACTGGTGTTTTACTCTGAAGTTCCACTTTGTTTGGATAACTGGTTTGAGGTGGATATGAACTTCCCCTGTGTAAAGGGGGAGTGCCTTCTTCCTGTATTCCTTTTTCACTAAGTGTTTTATTATTGCAACTGCAAGTTGAATTCTCCCCACCCCAAGACCTTGCTTATGTTATTTATGTTTTTCCACTTTATTTTCTGGATTTCATTATTTATCCAGTGTGTGTATGTGTACAAATGTGTGTGTGAGTGCATGTGTGCTCGTGTACTCACCATGATACTTATATGTCAGAAAATAACATGTACCTTCTATCATCTGGGAGTGAACTAAGGTCATCAGGCTTGGCAGCACCTTTACCCACTGAACCATCCTACCTGTTCTGTCTTCCTCAAATGCAGGACACAGCTTCTTCAACCACCGTCTTACACCCTTACCAAGCAGTTCTCCAGGCATTACAAGAAAATATACAAGCAGTTCAGTGTTCCTCTCTCTCACCCTCCCCACAAAGTAGCATCTTATACAATCCTGGTGCAAAAATCAAGCGCAGAGCAGGGATAGCAGTGCAATCCTTAGAGCATTTTAGATGTACCACTTCAAGTATATTGCTTGTATGCATGCAAGGGCATGAGTGTGTGTGTGTGTGTGTGTCACACACACACACACACACACACACACACACTATGCAGTTCTGTCTTCACTGTAGTGAAGATAGACACTCCCTGTACCATCATCACCACCACAGTTACTGTAAATATTGCTGTGCAAGTGGCAGTGAAGTGCTTAAGAGTGCAGTTCTGGGCTGTTGTTTGTTTTTTCTCTTTTGGGGGGCCTGCCATCCAGTTCCCAAATAAATCACACTTGGAGGCTTATTCTTAACTATAAATGCCTGGCCTTAGCTTGGCTTGTTTCTTGCCAGCTTTTATTAGATTATACCATCTACCTTTTGCCTGTGGACTTTTATCATTCTCTTACTTCTGTAACTCTTACTCTTACTCCGTGACTGGCTGGGTGGCTGGCCTCTCATGTCTTCCTCCTTTTCTTGCTCCTTCTTTCTCCTCCCAGATTTCTATTTATTCTCTCAGCCTGCCAGCCCCACCTATCCTTTCTCTTACCTCACTATTGGTCATTCAGTTCTTTATTAGACCATCAGGTGTTTTAGACAGGCAAAGAATCACAGCTTCACAGAGTTAAACAAATGTAACATAAAAAAATGCAACACATCCTTGCATCATTAAAGCAAATGTTCCACAGCATAAACAAAAGTAACACCTTAAATAATTTTCTACAGCACTGGTCCCTATGGGAAACCTAGTCATTGTATTTGTTTTTGCAATTCCCTTTTGTTTCGTGGCCAGTGAGTCTTGTCTGTGCACTAAGTAACTTTTAAAGAAAAACACTGAAGGATAATACAGTTTATGGGAAAAAATGTGACCATGAACTTGGGTGTATGAAGTTTGGAGAAACATAAGCCTCTAAGAGAACATCAGGTCCCGTTCAGGGTCTTGAAGGAAGGGATGTGTTCCTTTAATGCTGTCCTGAGCCCTGAAGGCAGTCTTCATTTCACCCAGCCATCAAGGACAGAATGCTCACTATAAACAGCAGTACTAGCCGTGATGAAAATTACAGCTAAAGGAATCTCTGAGCATTAGGGCTGTAATCCTCGCGCCCAGGATGTGGAAGACACTACCCCCCACCCCCGAGACAGGATTTCTCTTGTAGCCTTGGCTGTCCTAGAACTCTCTGTAGCCCAGGCTGGCTTCAAACTCACAGAGATCCGCCTGCCTCTGCCCCCTCCCCCAAGTGCTGGGAATAAAGTCGTGCACCACCACCACATGGCCAAAAGTACATTAATTTAAACATTAATAGTCATAAACTCAGGCCAGGCGGTGATGGCAACTTGAAGGAGTTAGTTTTCTCCTTCCTTCTGTGTGGCCCAGGGGATCAGATTCAGATCTTGAGGCATGGCAGCAACCACCTTTACCCATTAAACCATTTCATTGGCCCCATGTTTTCACAACTTTCGTAAAGCCGGACTGCTCAGAAGCTATCTGCTGCTTTCAAGGTTACCAATACCACATGAGGTGCAGCATCTAGAAACTTCCATTGTACTTAGACGGGAAAGAAAGGGGCAAATTCAGGTCAGTGTTATGAAAATCAGTGACCTCACTGGCCCTGCAGGATCGTGGGGACACGTGAGCCTGCAGTGCCCCTGGGGACTGCTGTGTCACTTAGCATCTCATTCAGCATTTTTCCGCTCAGCGTGTCAGGTGAAGCGTGGCTGGAGCCAATTGCTTATTTCTGGGCTATTTCTAGATAACACCTAAGATGATTTTTAAAACATCCATTGGACTGCTGACACATGGAACAGCAGAGGTGGACCTCAAAGCACTGTACCAAGTTAGTAAGACGGCCACAAAATCAACTGTACGACTATTGATGGGAAAGTCTAGAAAAGGCAAAAGTGTGGGACAGAAAAGCAGAATAGTGAAGCTGAGAGCTTGGGTCAGAGGGAGACTGACTGTGAGGGGTAGGAGGGGATTTTGGAGCAATGGAAATGCTCTTCACTCTGTGTCCCTCCCACAGTGACCTCTCACTCATCTTTTATTCTACTGGAAGGTATTCAGTAGTTTGGGATCTTCCGCCTGAGGAGAGAGAAAGTGTATCTACACAAACTCACCAAGTGTCCATGCGGCTTCATCCACAGTGTCCACAAACTGAAACTCTGTCAATGCCCACCAATGGGTAAATGGACAGACAAACGTGATGGTCTCCTCAGACTAAACATAATATGGCAAAAACATGGAGAAAACCACTGTTTATTCATCTAGAAGTTATTCATCTTCATGTATTATTTCAGAGTGATGCTTCCTCAACACAGTGAAACCAATAGCTCTTTATCAAAAAAGATAAAAGATATCAACACATTTTTCCTTTCTTTTTTTTTTTAAAGATTATATTTATTTATCATGTGAGTGTTCAGCCTGCAGGCCAGAAGAGGGTACCATATCTCATTGTAGTTGGTTGTGAGCCACCATGTGGTTGCTGGGAATTGAACTTAGGACCTCTGGAAGAACAGCCAGTGCTCTTAACCTCTGAGCCATCTCTCCAGCCCCCATTTTTCCTTTCTTGTGTTGGCCTCAGACCCAGGGCTTCATGCATGCTCTATTACTGGGCCCTTTTTCTTTATGCTTTGGAACAGCTTACATCAGATGGAATCATCTACTCTTTATAAGGTTAAAAGAACTTACCAAGAAGAAACTAAAAACAAAAAAAGGTGTGGTGGGGGGGAGCAAGGTCTCACTGTGTGGCATAGACTGGCCTTGAACTCAGCATTCCTCTTTTTGCTGTGAGTGGTGCTGAAACTCAGGGCCTTGTATGAGCTAGTCAAGTCCGCTATGACAGCCCCTGTCTGAATTCCTCAGTTTTAACTCCTTGGATGACAGCAATAAATATAAATAAATGTGCCTTGGGATACTCATTTTTTTTTTTTTTAATGTAGAGTTAGCTCAAGACTACATGTCTGAAAAGTTTAGAGACACCTTTTAAAGGGGATTGGGAAGAAGCTGAGGGCCTCTTGGTACTACCCAGGAATCAGAAGTCTTGAGAGTTGAGGTACTGACCCTGCCTGAAAGGGATTCCGTGGGATGGGTCTAAGGGCTGGCCTCATTTTCAGCCTCTGCAGTCTCCAGGACCTGGTTGGGCAGGTTCTGCTGATGTCCTGGGTGTAGGTACTTCCTGCTTCCCACGAGCAGCTAATGAGTAACTCAGCACTGAGCTGAATCAAAGCAGCTTAGCAGCAGTGAGGCTTCAAGGCCCAGAGAAGGCACTCTGCCGGAATGCGGTGGAAGCGGGGGTCTGATATCAGGTGGGATGCTTTTTGAGAGCCTTATGCCTCTGCTGGATTCAGATCTAAGGGCCAATATAACAGATCAACAGAACTGGACTGTCTTTGGCTTTTAAGAAATAAAACTAAAGCATTCCCTCTAGTACAGTTGAAAACTCAAAAGACTATCTCAGGTAACTAACAAAAGCAGATGGGAGACCACTTTTATCAACAGCAGGGTCCCCTGTGTGGAAAGATGCCAGTGGCACTTGTTTAGAGATCTAAGGTGTATTACTAAGCTGATAGAATTGTACCTTCTGTCTTTTGATCCATATTGCTTCTGTCTCATAGACGAAAGAGCCTATGGTTCCGACTGAAGAAGATAATTCTCTGTGTTCTGGGGTTCTACATTGCCATTCCGTTTCTTGTCAAACTGTGTCCTGGGATACAGGCCAAACTGATTTTCTTGAATTTTGGTAAGTCCTTTGTATCAATTTTTCTTTAATTTTATTTAGAGTTTATTTTCACGATGGTGGCTGGCTTTAAAAAAGTATCTTTTTATTTTAATTGAGATTGAACTTGTATGTAGTAAAATGTATAAATGTCTCGAAAAAACAAAAAAGCCGGTAGTGGTAGTGGCGCACACCTTTAATCCCAGCACTTGGGAGGCAGAGGCAGGTGGATCTCTGTGAGTTCGAGGTCTGCCTAGTCCACAGAGTGAGATCCAGGATAGGCACCAAAAGTACACAGAGAAACCCTGTCTCAAAAAAACAAACAAACAAAAACCTGACACATTTTGATTTTTGTGGAATTTTGTGCTGTTTACAAAACAGATAGTTTTAGGTCCTTGAGTTAACATTCACTCTGTGTGGTTCCAAAACTGTTTGGGGTTTAAGAAGGAGGAAAAAGTGAGGAAGTATTGTGCTATAAGGCAGGAGGCAGAGGGTCCTAGGTATGTTTGTCAGAAACAGTCCTTTCAGAAATACCATTTTATACCCAAATGAGGCAGAGGAGGCTGGGAGGCACTAACTATGGCCATGGAAATGGCTATGGTCAGTGTTGGGATGGGATGAGGTGGACTCCACCAGATCTTTGGCAAGGCTGGCTTACTGAGTGACAGGCCCTTGTGTGTTTGAGAGCTTGAGACTCAGAAGCAAGTTTGATGCTGGGAGACAGCAGGCAAGCTTTGGGCAGGGAGAAGGGACTGTGAGGATCCAGTCCATGTGAGTATAGCCCGGGACGTGGCAGAGCCAAGGATGCAGGGCCGGTGGGAGGAGGCATGTCTCAGGATTCAACCCCCACCCCCCACCTCCTGTAGTAACAGAATTCCAGGCTCTGTAGGGTCTGTTTTTACAAAGTTTGGGTGTTCAGTCTATAACAGACTTAAGACACTTGCAAAATACTAACAAGGAATTTCTGTTCTTTAAGCTAGTAAGAGAATCAGAAATGTGTGTATTGTATATTAGGAGATATTTTAGTTTTTCAAGAGGAAGGTCCTTCTAGGAATTTATGACCTCTAAGTTTGGTAACGTGTAAGGAATAAACTTAAGAAGGAACAAAATCATTTAAAACAACAAGGCAGTGTTTTTCTGAGTTAGTGTCCCTTAAAGAAGGTACAGAAAAGATGCTGGGGTTTGCAAACACAAAGACACAGGGCTGTAAATGTATTGGTGCAGCCCTTAGAACTGACCCATGTAGCCTAGGGCTGTGTGTTCTCTGTTGTTTGGCACACAGGTGCCAGCAAAGATCTGGATTGGATTTTTTCCACTGGATTCTGTGGGCTGCGTTAGCCACAGCCCACGGTTTTGTAGCGTTGGTTTTCTGAAGACATAGTAACTGTGCCATAGGCACAGAACTTGGAGTTCTCTAGTCCAATGTGTGTCACAGAGAGGAGGTTGTGTAATGGCTGCCCCCTAGGTTGATGCTCCCGCTAACATTTTCCTTCCACTGCCTACCGCTTGGGGGCAGAGGGGCCTGGAGCAGGTTTGGTTTGGGATTGTGTTGATTTTGGAGAAGTGGAATTTAAACCCAGGGCCTCACATGCACTGTACCAGTGAGTCCCTCCTGTGCAGTGTTTCTAAAGGGATAACAGGATAACCTCTGTCTCTGGATTGTTGGTTTTGTTTGTTTTGTTTTTTAAGTTACTCACAGAGCTGAGGAGGTGGTTCCATGGATAAAGTACTTGGTGCTGCTCTAGAGTAAGGATCTGAGTTTGGATCCCCAGCATCCACATAAAAAAACTGAGTGTGGTGGCACATGCCTGTAACCTGGTCACTGGTAGTAGAGATAGGCTGATCCTGGGCTCAGTGACTAACCAGCCTAGCTGAAATGGGGGAGCTCCAAGTTTAGTGAGAGATTCTGTTTAAAAACTGAGGTAGAGCTGGGCATGGTGGTGCATGCCTTTACCCCAGCATATGGAAGGCAGAGCCAGATGGAGCGCTGTAATTTCAAAGCTAATTTGGTCTACATAATGAGTTCTAGGCCAGCCAGATAGACTCTTTCTCCTAAATAAATAAATAAATAAATAAATAAATAAATAATAGAAAAGTGATTAAGAAAGATATCCTGATATTAATCTCTCGAGCTAGCATAGCCCCCCCACACACACTCCCCAACAAAATTTATAATAGAATTTTTTGAGTTACTTAAGGTCCAGAGAAAGACTCAGCAAGTGAAGCTTTGCTGTATGACAGCCTGGAACTTCCTGTAAAGGTGGAAGGAAAGAACCAGCTCTACAAAGTTGTCCTCTGACCTCCATTCCTGTGTGCTAGCACACACATGTACCACCCACTACAAAGAATTATGTTTTTTGGAGCTACTCAAGAACTTGGCACGGTTGGGCATCACTTTAGGGCAGTGGGTAGCCATCCCCACAGCCTTTCTCACAGCAGCACTGGCCTGCCTCTCTTTACTATACTTCCACTGTGAGGGCTGCTCTCCTGGGAGGAAGGGGCGTGCGTGCTGGTTTTCTAGGTTAAGTGTGGCCAACTTTAATTGCTTGGGCCTGTTTGCTCTGGACTGGAAGCAGTAGAGGTGTCTATCCATCCTGACAGTCTTTAGGGCTCAGGGCATGGTTAATATAGTCGTGAGTTTATAGCAAATTTATCTTAAAATAAATTTACAGCCAGATAAATAAGCTTTAGAGGAAGTACAGCACCTTTGATTTAAAGCAGTATTCTCCTTTAGATGCATTTTCTTAGAAAGAAAAAAAAAACTATAATTCTTGTACAAAGAAAAAAAAGTTAGCTGAAAAACCCTGAATAGAATAAGTAACAGTGAAAATCACTTTGAGCAACTCTTTGTTAATACTGTAGTTTACTGCCTGCTGGTCAAGTGCCTGTTCCTATGAGCATGCTTCTTGGGTCCTGATGTTCCCAAGTCTGATTCCATTCCAGTGATATTTTTTTAAAAGATTTATTTATTATGCACAGTGTTCTGCCTGCATGTATCTCTGCAGGCCATAAGAGGGCACAGATGGTTTTGAACTACCATGTGGATGCTGGGAATTGAACTCAGGACCTCTGGAAGAACAGCCAGTGCTCTTAACCTCTGAGCCATCTCTCCAGCCCCATCCTAGTAATATTCGTGTGATGCCTGGAATCTGAGGTCTGAGGGGCTGGAGTATGTCCCTAGCTGTCACTCTGCTATCCTGTTTCAAGGGTTAGGAACATGTCTCCCAGATAAAGAAAGGTCTTGGTTCAGAGGCAGAGGCAAGGGAGAAGTTGTTCAGACCTTCTTGGGAAATGGGTTAGTTTTGTTAAACGCTGGCCTCCTTCACCTGTCCCCTGAGCAGTCCCTGTTAAACCCACGTAGCTTTCTTATTTCTTTTTCTCCCATGGAAACCCCTGGTTGATCGTATAAAGTAATTGGAATTGATAAAACCCAGATAACCCGCTCAGCCCTTCCTTTGTTGGCACCACACCTGGTACAAGGAAGTTCTGCTACTTAAAAAGATGGAATGAGATGCACCCCGATAACAAAAATCCCAGGCAGTCACAAATGCCCATCCTGGT